CCAGCCCCCCAAAAAGGGGTCCCAGCCCCTCAAAATGGGGGTCCCACCCCCCAAAAGGGGGTCCCAGCCCCCAAAATGGGGGTCCCACCCCCCAAAAAGGGGGTCCCGTCCCCCAAAATAGGATTTCCCACCCCTCAAGAAAGGGGTCCCACCCCCTAAAAAGGGGGTCCCACCCCAAAAAGGGGGTCCCACCCCCCAAAATGGGATTTCACCCCCAAAATGGGGGTCCCAGCCCCCCAAAATAAGATTTCCCACCCCAAAAATGGTGTCCCAGCCCCCCAAAATGGGGGTCCCACCCCCTAAAATGGGGTCCCACCCCCCCCAAAAAGGGGTCTAAGGTGAGTCTGACCCCCAAAATGGGGGGTCCCACCCCCCAAAAAGGGGTCCCGGCCCCCCCAAGTCACCTGGGTGGCGACCTCCCCCTAAAATGGGGTCCCACCCCCCCCAAAAAGGGGTCTAAGGTGAGTCTGACCCCCAAAATGGGGGGTCCCACCCCCCAAAATGGGGGTCCCGGCCCCCCAAGTCACCTGGGTGGCGAAGATGGCTCTCTTCATCATGGTGAAATCCTCCCTGTCCAGCATCTTGTTCATGTCCGGGAGGTTCCCCCTGAAATTTGGGGGGGTGGGAGCTCAGGAGACCCCTCCCCAAAATCCCCAGGGGTGTTTTTGGGGGGGTTTTGGGGTTTTTTGGGGTTCTTACACCAGCAGAGACTCGTAGAGCTTCTTCCCGAATTTCTCCTTCACGGCGTTGGCCGTGTCCCTGGGGGGCGGAATTTGGGGTTTTTGGGGGGCTCCCCGGGGGTTTTTGGGGGGTCCCCGGGGGGTTTTGGGGGGTTTCGGAGTCCCTGGGGGGCAGAATTTGGGGGTTTTGGGGGGTCCTCGAGGGATTTTGGGGTTTTTTGGGTATTTTTAAGATATTTTAAGGATTTTTTGGGGGTATTTTGGGGTTTTTTGGGTATTTTTCGGATATTTTTGGGGTATTTTAGGATTTTTTGGGTCCCACCAGAGGTGCTTGCGCACGGCCTGGCCCTGGGTGGATTTGGGGTGAATTTTTGGGATATTTTGGGATATTTTTGGGATATTTTGGGATATTTTTTGGGGTCCCACCAGAGCTGCTTGCGCACGGCCTGGCCCTGGGTGGATATTTTGATATTTTCAGGATATTTTAAGGATATTTTTGGATATTTTCAGGATATTTTGGGATATTTTAAGGATATTTTGGGATGTTTTTGGGTCCCACCAGAGCTGCTTGCGCACGGCCTGGCCCTTGAGCGACTCCACGTTGAAGTTGTTGGTCCGGGCTGGCATGATGAAAAACGCCACCACGGTCACCTCGCTGCCGTTCACCTGCAGGGCGCGTCCCCAAGGGTCACCAAGGGGTCACCAAGGGTCACCAGGGGTCACACGGGGTCACCAAAGGTCACACGGGGTCACCAAAGGTCCCCGAAAGTCCCTGCAGTGTCCCCAGCCCCAAATGTCCCCAAATGTCCCCAACACTGTTCAGCTGCTGGGGGTGTCCCCGATGTCACCTGGGGTGCCCTAAAATGTCCCCAAGGCCAGCTTGACCCCAAATGCCTCCGGTGTCCCCAAATGTCCCTCCAAGCCTTGAATGTCCCCCAATGTCACCTGTGTCCCCGTGGGTGTCATTGACGTCCCCAAATGTCCCCAATCCCCAAAATGTCCCCAATCCTTCCAATGTTCCAAACGCCCCCGATGTCCCCAAATCCCCTCAGTGTCCCCATGTCACCCCGATGTCCCCACTGTCCCCAATCCCCAAAATGTCCCCAATCCTTCCAATGTCCCCAATGTCCCCAATCCCCTCGATGTCCCCAATCTTCCCAATGTCCCCAAATGTCCCCTCAGTGTCCCCAATCCCCCCGATGTCCCCATGTCACCCCGATGTCCCCAATGTCCCCATGTCACCCCAATGTCCCTGATGTCCCCCAGTGTCACCCTGAGCAGGTAGTTGAGGCG